AGGAAAAATTCTAAACCCATGATAAATTCGTAAGAATAGTTGAACATAATAGTCACATTTATAATGGTAAATTATAACTGAAGTGGAGAAGCCCAATTACTGGAAGAGTGTTGCGAGGATAATATAATGAGCGTCTTTAGAAACGTAATTAGTGGGCGGCACAGTAAAAAAACTGAGTGAGAACGCAAACAATAAGGAAAATTGTTTGGGATATTTGAGTATTATCGATTTTGATCAACTAACTACCCAATTCTAAATGAGGGGTGATATAATTGATCCAATTGGACCAAAGACTGGTAATTGTCTGTCTTTAACACGACCTACACTTCAGACTTGTAGCTTGGATGAAGTGCGAATCGAATAGTAATACTGTTCTAAGTTTGATATCTAATTTGCCTCTCTAAAATATGTAGTTTTTCGCTCTTATTATCTTTTAAGGTTTCCTTATATATTATTGCATGAATCTAATTTAAAGGATAATAAGGATAGGAGATCCGATGCTTTTTTTAGAATCTCATTGATTGGTTCTCTTTTGCATTTTGTTTGAATAGGATGCTGGTAAATTCATTGCCATTTTCTTCTAACTGTCAAACTGCCTTATGTGCTCTCCCATCTGTAAGTCACTTCTTAGAAGTTATTTCTTCAGTTTAAAAGTATGTACTATCCGGAAATGGCAATGTTCCTTTTACTATAAAAAGGTGTTTATTATTGTATTATTCACTTGTTGAATGTTATGAGCACATTGCTATGAAAGGTGATTCTTATTTAATAGTTAGATTTTACCTCTTCTTTCCTTGTAATGCTTGTTCAACATAAGTTCAGGTTCTCTTCATATTTCAACCAAAATTTGGTGATCGATCAAATATAACATTTAGCATTTATAGTCTTCTATGTCCTGATGAATTACATTTGGAAGTATAAAGTTGAGTTGGTTCTTTAATTGAATTTTTGCACTTTGCCTTTCAGGCTATTGTTTCAACTTCAACAAATTTGATTCTAGTTCAATGGAATCCATCATACAGAATTACATCGCAGATCAAATTTCCCTCAAAGGAAAGATGTCTTTGCTCTGAGTTATCAGTTAGAACATACAAACTACTAGCAACTAATCAAGCACAGACCACCATAGAAGAAGATAAGGATAGTAATCTGTGGGAAGAAAGTAAACAATCACTCTATGCGTTCAATTTCACCACAGAAGAAGCCGATCGGATACTCAAGAAAGCTTTTGGCTGGATTCATTCACCTTATTGGGGCGAAGAACGAAGAAAAGAAACTCCTAAATTAGATTCAATAAAAGAGATGTTGGATTACTTGAAGAGTTTAAGCCTTTCTGATGATGATCTCCACAAGATACTGAAGAAGTTTCCTGAGGTGCTGGGCTGTTGTCTTAATGAAGAGTTGAAGGTCAATGTTCAGACATTAGAAAGGGAATGGGGAATCAAAGGAAAAACACTTAGAAATCTTCTTCTTCGCAATCCTAAGGTGTTAGGATATAATGTGGACTGCAAAGGTGATTGCATGGCTAAATGTACTAGATGTTGGGTTCGGTTTTAGTAAATTTATCTGCAGATTGTGTAGAAGATATTAGTTCTTACATCAAAAGGTCTCAGATTAGCTGGTCAGTAAAGCAGATTTTATTCATAATGTAAGTTCATATTATAGAAAGGTTCTATATTATCGTTTCTTTTGTATGAGTATAACTTAAAAGAGTGGAAATTCATGTTAGTTTTGAGTAAATATGATGCAAATCTGGAAGTCCATATTCATCAGAAATACAACTAGTGATAATATTATTTTATTTTTCGCTATTTCTTTTATTTTTCTATTTTATTTTGATAATTCATATAATAGATGGTTCTCTTGAGGAGTTGTCTTCTCTAAAATCTGTGTTGGTTTATATGATTTTCATGTTGGTTTGAGTTTTGAATGGCCGGTTTAAAAATGAATTTTCTCTGAAGCATCCAACTGGAAGAGTTTCTATGGGATTGGACGCCTCATCTCTTGAGATGTTTTTGTTGGGATTCTGTTATTTTCTGCTGGTCTTCTTTCTCCTGCTTATTTTGTTTGTGGCCAAAATGTTTCTTCTGCTCGGCTCAATTCCCTGGACTTGGATATTACTGTCAGACAAAGTTCTCTTGTTCCTTTCAGAGAAGTTTGCTTTTTTCTGGTGTTTCTCTGATGGTGGTTTCTTTCATCTATTTGGAGCTATTGTTTGTTTAGATGTTTTCTCTTTGGGAGGTGTTCAGATGAGGGATATACTCAGTTGTTTTCATGTATGGCCATGAATCCAATTAACTTTAGAAATCTTTCTGCTTCCTTCGACACTTTGGCAGTTTCTTTTTTGTAGGGAAATGATGAATGTCATTGCACCCATATGGCCTTTCATTCTCTTGGACGATCTACGGGCAATCAGGTGATGCTTTTCAATCATTATTGATAAAATTCTATATTATGTTTAATTAAAATTTTGCTCATTCTGAATCTTGTTTTTGAAGCTTTTGCCTTTATTCTTCATTTTCTTTTTGAGTCTAGCACGTTTTGTTTGCAGCTCAATTTTTCTTTGGATCACTAGATGTTGAGTAGCAAGTTTATCGTACTTTTCATGTAATTTTTTTTTCTTAATCAATGATTTTGGGCTCTTCCCTAATTAAAAAAAAAAAATTGCAGTATATAGCAAAACCAATCAATGATTTAAGGTAGCCCAATCAAACCATATATCTTATCAAAGTCTCCAAAATTTATAATAACCAAAAAGATACAACTTGTAAATACATCACCACAATGCACTGCAGGCAACCCTGAGCAAACTCAAAACTTGCAAGAATCTACTGAACTGGTAACATACAATGGTTAGTCATCATTCCTCTTTATTTTTGTGTGAACGGCCAGAAAGTGGCAATTCCCCTTTCTATGCAACTTTTCATTCATTTCTCATATGTTATAAATAAAGAGCAACAACAATGAAAAAATATAATCTTTAATCCATGTAGTACTTACTCTTCGTTAGAGTTCCTTTCCAATATTTTGTAAGCAAAACATCAAATAAGAATTTTTGCCCATCATATAGATCTTTTTTAATCATCTGCATAGCAAAGGGAAACCCAAAAAATATGTGTATGAAATTTTTTTTATTATAACAAACTAAGCATAATCTCTTAATAATAATGTCGTAATGAATGTGATTGTCTATAGTTTTGAGGCCAGCAATACAAGTCATTTAAGTTTAGAGTGAGAATATAATAGAATTACCTTAAACCAATGAGATTTGAATAGAGTATTAGGTAAATCATCAAAAAAAGCTTTTTTGGCTTTATTAAAGGTAAACTAATCTTTTCCATTTCATATAAGGTTATTCACTACTCCATTATAGAAAGCCCTCAAGCAAAGAAATCATCAAGTTGACGAGAGTTTAAGATGAATTTTAGATAAAACACAGGCCATTCAATAATATTTCATTAAATGTAGCATCAATGGTAGAATAAAAAAATGGTGAATGTTACACCTAAAAATTTTTCTTAGAGAATTCCCATTTAATCAAAGATCATAGAAGAGAAAAATAGAGCTTTCATCATCATTAAAAAAAAAAGTAAATTCAATGTGCATATGAGGGTCAGTTGATCTCAATTTCTCCCACAAGTGAGCACCCTACCAATAATTGTAGAGCCAAGAGAGAAAGATTGGACCTAGAGGAGAGTTACAGAGAAATCATAGCAAAAAGAAGAAGTAGAATGGTATATGTAAAGCTATTAATTATTTTTTTTTTGCATCTCACACTATATGGAACAATATACAGATTATATAGAATGTAGCCAATTGTTATGTTATAGCCACAATAATGCTTGACTGACGATGATTGTTATTGGGTTATGCTCGAATGGCTGAGATTACACAGTAGTGAGGATGGTAACTCCATTCATCTTTTCATCATTTGGGTAGTTACTACTTACTACCTTCCTATAAGCTAAGTAAATCAAAACAAATGGTTAACTTCTCTCTGATCTTGCAAAGCATTCAATGGATATCGACTTCATAAGAAGCCAGCTGGTTGGTCATGTGAGTGGTTGTGTTGAACTTTGATCTCCTTAGAGTGAATGTATTGGTGAATGAAGTGAAAATTAATTTCAATGTATTTTTTAGCTTGAAATATGGGACTATTGGTGACAGACATGATGGATATGTTTCAATAGTGAATGAATGTTGGCTCAGTGAGAGCGATAAAAGTTCTAAATGAGGCGTCATAGCCAAATAATATTGGTAGTTGCCCATGTTAGAGTGTGATACTAGGTCTGATTGGAGGATCTTGCCACTCTGGGTTGCTTCTTTTTAGTCCAAGAAATTAGAGTGTTTCTTAGGTAGGAACTAAAACCTAAGATGGATTTGCAGTATATAGAATCAGTTGACTGCATCTATATAGCTATGAAGACTCGATGGATCTCTTTATATAGGTAAGCCAAACTCAATGGTACCATTTACTTAACTTAGAAGTCACTTAAGTTCTTGATTATGATACTCATAGGGTTCATCCATATGCTGACAGAGTTAATTGATAATGTAGGCTACTTCTGGGCAACTAATTGTCAACTATAGGAGCGCGTGAGTGAGCTTCCAAAATTTTTTTGGTCCAAAGGGCTAAGTCAGTGTTGTAGGCTTCTATCATGTTTGCAACTGAGGATGGAAATGGAGATGCAATATGTCTAGTTTACTTCCTGTAAAAAATCTATTGCATATTGAGATTGACATAGAAATTACCCTTGGTATTTTCGGATGACTTGAATACCCGAAAAGTAGGAGGAGATCGAGCCGAGATTTTTCATGTTGAAGCACTATTCTAGGTCATGAAACAATTTTTGTGTGGTAGTTGGGTCATTTCAAATCACGAAGACATCATCAACATAAATTAAAAAAAAAATTATACCATTTTGCTTGTATAGTAAGAGAGAAGGATTTGCTTGATTGAAGTGGAAACTGTAGTGGATAAAATATATGGGGGAATGTCCCTATGCATTGAAGTGAAGTAGTTTAGAGGTTTAAAAAGTGAATGGTAGATAAAGTAAATGAAATACAATGAGCCTTAGCTTCATTACATGCTTTGCAAAAAGAAAATTAAGACGGAATACATAACATTTTGTTGCGTGTAGAAAAGGTTGCAATGATAGAGGATGTGGATGTTCGAGTTATTGATGCTGAAGATTAGAGTGTTGTGTGCAAAAGCCAAAGCAACTAGGGATGATGAAGCTCTTCCTTTACAAAGCGGATGGAGACCTCTCCGAAACATACCTTGAAGGAGGATGATATTTTTCGCTAGATTATTTATGTGAAAATTTAACGCCATCAAAAGAAAAAGAGTAAATGTTACGGAGATAAGATTGTGAGAGATTTTTGGGACGTGAAAGAGTTTAGACAAATAAAGCTTATTGATAGGAGTTGGTAGCAAATCTTGGTCAGAATGGGGAAGTGGTAGAGAGGTACCGTTGCCAACAAGGATGTTGCATGGTCCAATGCAGTGAGTTGCTTGCTACAGATGCTCAACATTAGATGTTAAGTGAGCAGTGGAACTTGAATCAAGGTACTATTTAGAGTTATTGGGTTGCAATGTTGTGACCAATGCCCATTGGGATGGCATAGGAGTGGCTGGTGTGAAGGTTGGGTTCAGTTTATGTCATCATTTAAAAGGTCTTATTTAGCACAGACTTGGCAAAATATGGTGTTAAGCATGATTTTCCTTGCTCATTTGAGTAATATAGAAATCCTTTGCTTCATCATACCCCCTTATGCCATATGAGAAAGAAGACCTTCAATATCTGTTTGTGGTAAGGTCCACGGTGTAATCTGCTGTGCACACTCTTTTGTATTATCAATTGCAGAATGAATCTCTTCACTTCATAAGAGAGAGAAGAAGTCATTTAGGCTTATGGGATGAAGAGTGGTGTGGACAGCATTCTTTAAGGCATGATATGAAATGAGTAGGTTGTTGAGGATATGAAACATGATGTCATCATCATCATCTAGGAATGCTTCAGGTACAACAATGTTGTCAACTAGAGCTTGACATCAGATATGTATTTTATCATGGTCCTATTGTTGTTTGCAAAGTGATGAAGCTAATTCTTGAGTTGTATCACATGTGACCAATTGTTTGAGGATTGGGCAAAATTGGAAGAGTTGTTATAGAGTAGATGGTGTTTGAGAGATTACGATCTATAAGTTTTCATGTGTTATACAAAGGATTGGATAGGGATTGGCCAACTGCATGAGTGAGAAATCTCCTTGGGCACTTGTTTGACCCATGGAGAAAACCATTAAAACCATCTGGGACAGTTTTTTATTTGGAGATATACATAGAGGGTAATTATCATTTGAGAGCTATATGTTAACTTTTTCTTCAAGATTTTCCATCAGAAATGTTAAGAAGACATATAAAATAGCTCCTGATGTTAAGAGTTGTCGTATCTTCATGGATGAAAGAAGTAGGGGTTGCCCATTTTGATGAGACTATGCAGCGGGCTGTAGTAGAGAATGCTTTGATACCATGTAAAAACTAAGAGAGAGATAATGATTTAACCTTTGTTGAATTTTCTAATGAAGGTTTCCCAGTACAAATCAAATTGAAAGAAGTTTTACTTCTAAAGAATATATTAATGATGAATGCCTTCAAAGAATCCTAATGTTTAAAAGATCATTTATCTAGTTAATTAAACGTGCATAATTCATCATAATTGATCTCTAAGCCATTTAGATTAATTTTATTTAAAAAATAATATTTGTTCTTATAGAATTATATCATATTTGCGTGAATTGTCTATTTTTTATTTACTGTATCATCTCATCTTTTAAGAATTAGTTATAAGTCTTCATTAGTATCCCTTAAGATAGATATTAGTATTTTAATATTTTCATTACTTATATCATATTAGCCATTTTTATAATCTAACATACTGAAATGAATATATTCATCAAAAATCGACTATTAATTATAAAAATTATAATTTTATTAATGCAAATATAAATTCATATTAGACAATAAAGTAATGGTATGTTGAAACCTTTAAAACTTTACTAGATGGTACTTCAAAAAATTAAATAATTAGAATACAAGATCATATAAAATCATTAAACCAATTGAAAATTATAGGTCAACAAGCTCTCTTTCTTTCTCATATCTCCTCTAATCTCTCTTTTGCCACATATTAATAAATTGATATCAAATTACACAAATTGCAATGTGATATCTTGACCAGTTAGGTACTACTAATTATATCAAAGTTGTTAAACATGTACAGTAATGATTTACCATCATTTATACTTGCACTATGTTCCTTTAATTGAGGCACCCTGCATTCATGCAAGTGAACATTTCTTATTTGAAGTTAAAAAAAAATTTTGTGAACTTAACCTGTAACTAAGATTATAAAAAATCTCAAGCAACTCATTATGAGTAACCTCTCAAACAATTTAGTTAAGTATAACAAAGTGTCACCCATAAACTCTTTCATAATTTAAACAACCATCACTATCATCAGTCATCACTAATGGTGAAATTAGAGGATCGCCTTTCACTTCTAATTAATAAGGCTTTAGCAACGCTTTTTTCAACTATTGCGGCAATTAAAGCGCTACTAAATTTTTTGCAACAAATTTCCAACAGCAACAAATCAAGTATATTTAAATTGGTTGGAAAAGACTTTGGCAATGGTTTTCACTTGTAGTAGTTAAAACCACTGTTATAGGTTAGAATTGCAACGGTTAAAAACGCTACAATTATGTAATATAGTAGCGGTTTTAACCGCTTCTTTGTTATAGTATAATAGCGGTTAAAACCATTATTCATCTTTATCATTGTAAAAATTCAAAATCATTGCAGAAATTCAAAACTTTGATTTGGCATGATTTAAATTGCAAACTTGCATAATTGTTTGGTTGTGATTTCTTCTTGATTTATTTAATCTATTGTTATTTCCCAATAATTAGTTTAATAACCTTGCAGTAAGTAGGACCAATCTAATTTAATGATTATGAGAAGACCATCAAATTAAACTATTTTAACAATTTGCAAACCGTCGCTATCAACTGCTGTGAAAAAGGCATTTTTTATAGTTTTTGCTCTCTTATAGGATTCATTTGAGACGACTTTCTTATTGCTTCTTAAAACAATTTTTTAGTATAAAAATTAAAATTTTTGTACATAAAACCTGCTTTAAGAAGTTAAAAGAAAGTCATTCCAAACAAAGCCTTGAACTTTCATATCTTTAAGCCTATGAAAATTGGTTTTAAATGAGCTTTCTTATCCATTGATGATTGGATGCAACTAAAGAACATATTAAATAAACAGCAACAGATACAGCAGCATGAAAAGCCTGATGCGGAGAACATCAGCGTCCAGAGAGACTTGCACGCAATTAGGCACACATTAATTGCCCGCGCCTGGCTTTGTCCATTACTGCTACTCTATAAGAAGAAGGCCATTAGGCATTTCTATCTAAACCTTTGCTCTTTCAGCTTCTCTCACTGTCTCTACAACTTTCCAATGGCCAGAGCAAGGTTAATGATCATGGTAGTTTTCTTGCTTCTGCTGCTTGAGGTGAGATATATAATTGCTCCATTTAAGCAATCGTTCTCTTCATAAAAATAAAAAACTCGCAAAATTTCAGCACTATTTTGATAGACCTTTCTTAAAGGTCTACATCAGATTATTCAGTATGTTATATACATAGTAGATGAATTATAATTATTTTTTCTCTTGCATTAATGCTTGTTTTCTGATGTCAATGGCTGCAGATGGAAATGTTTACAGGATCATTGACGACAGGAGTGGAGGCAATAGGTAAGCTCATGTAGAACGGTAATGAAGAATTTTTAAATTATGAGTTAGTGGATCTCAGTCTATTGAATTATAATTATTACATATCAAAGATTCAAATGAACTATTATATATATATATAATTTATTTAATCATAAAATAAAAATAATAATAAAACAATAAGAGCAGTATATGGAAGGAACTTTTATTACGTTCGGTTCAAGGACGTAGAGGAACGTCCGGTCGGAGGCAATTTCCCGTCCAAAAACTAGGTATTTGCTCGGTACAACTAGGTATTATTTGATAATAATGAAGAATACCGTTCTCTGAAGACCAATACCGAGTTATACCAGCTGTACCGAGAAATACCGAGTTGTACCGAGTTTTCTGAGAAAAACTACGGTAAACTTTGGTATAAGCTCTGGTATTGTGCTCGGGTAAAGCCGCATAAACTTCGGTATTGGTTTCAATTGATAGTATTCTTCGTGTATTGTTTGGTATGCTCGGTACAAACTCGTTTTTGGCAGGGAATTTGCCTCCGACCGGATGTTCTCTACGTCCGTCGGGAGACGTAATATTGTTCTATATGGAAGAGTAGCAAAAATAAAATAAATACTTTTTTTGTATATTGATCTGTTTAATTCATAGTTAATCTGTTGATGTTTTGCTGATGATACAGATTGCCCATCAAACTGTGCGAGGCGATGCAGCAAAGCAAGACATAATGTGTGCAATAGAGCCTGCCTTGCGTGTGCCACCATTGTAATTGTGTGCCACCTGGAACTTCTGGCAATAAGGAAGTATGCCCCTGCTATGCTAACTTGAAGAACCGTAAGGGCCGCCCTAAGTGCCCTTGATTAGTTGCTTCAACTATATGAGCCACTATTCATACAATAATATTATATATATATATATATATATATAAAGGTTTCATGTAATGAGTATTTGATATATTTTATGCGTTGTCAATTAGTAATGCAATAGCTCATTTTTCTCATTTAGGACCTGGCAAGGATGATGCATGTGTGTGTATAAAAACAATTTAGTAAGGGGGAAAAATTATTTATCTAATATGTTAAATATTTAAATTTTTATATTTATTTGTATAACAAATAAATCTGTCATTAAAAAAATATTATTAATATTAAATTTTTAACTAAGTATATATTTTTCATGAATATATTTTTATGTGATTTATATATTGATTTAGTATATAAGTACATATAAATGTATAGATGTAAAATATGTAAATTTATAAAAATTTTATGGTAGATTTGTAATTCCCCAAATAAATAAAATTTCACTGGTATATAACTAATCTAAGGAATGTTTAATAATGTTTTAAAAAAGTAGTTTTAAATACTGTTTTTTGGCTAGCTCCATTATGGTTTTATTTAAGCATACCTTAATTTCTATTTTTTTATGGAGACCAATGGGACAAATGAGAAAATTGATTTTGAGTCTATAATCTAGCTCGCTAAGTTACTTCAATTCTGCTCTAAAGACAGGGAAATTTTATTTCTGTATGCACAAAAAGTATCCACTATCCATTAGGATATCATCTTTATTATTATTATTATTATTATTATGGAAAACTTAATGTTTATTTCATTGGAAGCATGGCACCAAGCATTGGCTTTAGAGTAGCTTTTTTGTTTTGTTTTTATTAGTTGTTTTACTTTGTTTTGATAGTTCTGCAATTAAGAATGTCAATTATGATGGTTGAGAGAGTGATCTATTATATTTCATTGCTTTAAGTTTAATTACTTCATATGATTTGGCATGATTTCAATCTTTATTCAATAATTTAGATTAATTTTTATAATGATAGTTTTATTTGGAAAAATATGACATTCGTTATGATAGAGATATCAGTATATGACACGACATGAAAATCCAACCCAAATGTAGAACTGTTATGAAAATTTTGTATTCAAGTCGACCCATTTAATACACGGGTTGGGTGAAGGTTTGATTTCTTGAGTCATTTCATTATCAGACTGGGTTTGGGTCATCCCGCCAAATTGAAAATGGCCTAGATTTGACTCGTAAATTGTGAATTGAAAATTTTTATATGTATATAAAAATGTTATATAATAATTAAAGTTCATATTAATGAAATTTTGATGGTAATATAACAAAAAAAAATCAAATAAATATGTTTGACTCTTCAAATGACGCATCATGCGTCAATTTTCGCCCTGTTTAGCGTATTTTTGCGTATAGGGGTCAATAGAAGTGAGAACTTTGTTAGCATAAGTGAGAACTCTGTCAACAGTTTTGGTTCTCTGGCTTTCGCTTGGGGCTCGTCGTCTCATTTTGCTCTGCATGTTACTCAGGGAAGTGTTTTAATCCTTTGTCTCTAGTGCTTTTTCTTTGTTAGTTGGCCTGGGCTGACTAGTTTTCTTCTTCTCCTTGGCTTTTAAATTTATCATTGTATTCTTTAAGAGCTTCAACTAATAGCTCTACTGAGATGATCGAACCAGGTTTTTTAGCAGGTAAAAATCATTCTCAATTTTTTAAGGAAGTTTTATCGGATTCCTCAGTTGCTTTCCCCGAGCTTAAACCTACAAATCATTGTGTCATTATGGATTGATTGCTCTTTGGATCTCCAAGGAAGAGGTTAAATCCCTTGCTGCTCCTTTTGAGTTTGCATTGGTTGGGAAGTTTGCACTTCGGTATCCTAAGTTGGATACCATCCATAATTTTTTTTCAATGTTAAGCTTTGTGGTGAGATCTCAGTTATCTTGTTCGATCCTCATCACATACTATCAAACTGTCAAAGGAATTGGATTATAGCCGTGTTTTTTCTCATAAAACTTACTATATTAGTAAATGTTTGATGAAACTTATTATATGGCCTCCTCTCTTTGACATTTTTGAGGAATTTCCCTTCATCCCCATTTGGATTTCTTTTTCGAATTTACGAGCTCATTTTTTTCTCATCGAATTTTATATGATTTGGGTTCCTTATTTGGTCATCCGCTTCAAACGGACAATGCCATGGCTAATGTGACTAGACAATTTGTTGCTTGTATTCTTGCGGAAATGGATATCTCAAAAAAATATCGTAATTTTATGTGGCTTGGCCCTAATAAATATGTTATATTTAGAAGGTTGTGATGGAAGATCTCCCATCCTTCTGTGATCACTACAAATCGCTAGATCACAGTAAGAATGAGTGCTATATACTTTACTCTTACTTGAGGAAAAAATCTATTATTAACTCCATACCTTCGGGGATTGATCCTAATGGGATTGCCTTTATAGCACCTTTTTCAAGGGTTCATGATTTAAATAATGTCTCTCTTATTGAGCAAAATATTGGTGTTAAAGAGTTTGCGGAGAATATTCCTATTGTTTTTTATGGCAACATTGATCTTCATGGGAAAGAGGTTACTAATGCTCCTTCACCTATTTCTAATTATTGTCTTGCTATAAGGGTTACTGATAATGAAGTTGTTCCTATTTTGGTTCCAATGATTTCTTCTTCTAAACTTCAATTACCTGATAATGACCCTTTGGGTCAAATTGAGGGGGCAAGCCCTATTTCTCATTGGATGTCAAATTTGGAAGAAGGTGAAATTAATTCCTCTAAGGCTTTTCATCCCAATCACTCATTTAAAGATTTAAAATTCAATACTTCACATGAACTTCTAAGAGAAAATACAAAAAAAAAATATGACATTTTATCTTATGATACAAGAGTCACTAGATCAAAAGTTGCTAAAAATATTATTTTTTTTATGATTAACTTTACCATTTGGAATATGGCAAAATAGTTACATGTTCTCATTTAAGAAATCTTTGTGTGATCAATACAATTTCTCTTTTAGCTCTGCTTGAGACTGTGGTTGATGCTTCTAAGCTTTTATTATGTCAAAGGTAATTGGGTTTTGACTTCTTTTATGTTAATAATAATGATAAATTTTGATTATTTAGGAATGAGTCTATTAATTTTTCTATTATTGGAGATTTTAGCAAGCTTTTGCATTGTAAGTTGTCTATTTATAATGTCATTGTTATAGGTTTAATAGTGTATGCTAGTTATTCTAAAGCTGATAGGCTTCCTTTATGGAAGAAGTTGCATGATTTGGTTAATTCCTAATATGACTTTTGATTTATTGGTGATGAATTTAACATCATTTCAATATCTCTGAAAGACAAGGAGATGCCCCTCCTAATTTGGTCATTATAGATGATTTTAATAATATGATTGTTGCATCCAGGAGTATTCACGGTGATAGATAAATATAAAATTTAACGTCTTAGCATTGTACAAAAATCCGGCACATAATTAGATAAGAGAGATGGTGCATCATTTATGAGACACCAAAATTTTTATGTGGAAACCCGTGAATATGGGGAAAAACAACAGGGCCTAGCCCTGTTTGAATGAATCCACTATTATTGCAGTTGATTACAAATGAGGCCCTTCATTGGGGGAAGGCCTTAGCTTGATGTACATCTTATTGAGTACATTACATAATGTGAATACAAGGAATCACTATTAACGTGTTCGTTTGGTCGGAAGGATCGTAGTTGATGGGCGACGTAAGTCAGAATGATCATAGTCGGCGGGCGATGGAGGTCGGAAGGACTGTAGTCGGTGGGCGAAGTAAGTCAGAAAGACCATAGTAGGCAGGTGACAGAGGTCAGAAGGACTATAGTAGGTGGGCGACGTAAGTTAGAAGGACCGTAGTTGGTGGGTGATAGATGCCGGAAGGATTGTAGTTGGTGGGCGACGTAAGTCAGAAGGACCGTAGTCAGCGGGCGACAGAGGTTAAAAAGATGGCATCAGCTAGAAATCCAGCAATGGATAGAAATCTAGCATCAGATAGATGTCCGGCAAAAGTACGACAACAGGCAGAAGTCTGACGTTTGATAGAAACTTGGCAACGAGTGGAGGCCTGGCGTCAGGTAGAAATTTGACCTCAGTTGGTAGCCAAGGAGAACTCCAGCATTAGATGGTATTCAGGCAGAACTCTGATGTCACTTGGAGTTTGGGTGAAACTCCAACGTCACTTGGAGGTTGGGCGGAATTCGGTGTCACTTGGAGGCCAAGCGGAATTCCGGCGTCACTTGAGTTCGGGCAGAATTTTGGTGTCTCTTGGAGGTCGGGCAAAATTCTAGCGTCACTTGGAGTTCGGACAGAGTTCCAGCATCATTGGAAAGTAGGGCAAAATTCTGGCATCACTTGAAAGTTGGGCGGAATTCCGGAATCCTGTGGAAGTCGTGCAGAATCCCGGCGGTGGTCGAGGATGAGTTTTTTCCCTCCTGGTCTTCTCTTCTTCTTCTTGCTTCGGTCCCCTCTCAAGAGAAATGAGGGGTCTATTCATAGATTTCTGGAGTGGCATGGCCCATAAAGAGGTGGAGGATCAAGGGAGGGAGAATATGGAGTGGTTCGGATGGACGGACGATATTGAATATTTTGATCGTGGACCATTTATCAGACATTTGAAGGTCTTAATGATATTGGAATTCAGCAATCTTGGGCTCGTTAGATTCATATCTTTGAGCCGCTCGATTTGACTATAAGCATGTCATGTTTGAAACCCTTTTGGTAATCCAAATTGTGGTTTAAACCTTCCAACAGCACTTCAGTTCCTTGATTTAGACTCATTTAGGCTCGGATTGAGTCGAATTTAGTGTCGTTGGGTTTGTATTTCCAAGAGGTTCAGTTTGACCATAAGTTTGCTGAAATTAGAGTTTAGATGATCACAAATTTAATTTTTGAATTTTCCAGCTTGATTTTTGCCTTGAGATTCGTGCCCGATCAAGATAATTTTTTGATGATATATCAGTTTCCCCCTATTTTCGGACGTCAAAGCTCAAGGAGTTTGAAAATATGTGTCGACATTTCACATTGACCGAATCGCAAAA